GGACATACACAACTACAAATTAAAATCTGGAAACTGTAGTCATAGTGTAAATGTTGTAAATCTTGACAATACAAAAATAATACATCTTACAGAAATCGGGATGTAAGAAAGTGGAAGAATGTAATTTTAATAATTTAATGTAATTTTTAATAATTGTAGGTCAGTCCACATTGTCTAAAATGGAATCATATAGCTTTTAAATGACACTGCTCTTTTAATATTTGTGTATTATTTTTTCTTAACTTGATTCTTTTAGGAACTGAAATTGCTTTTGGTGAAGAAAAAATTTCCCCCAAAGATAAGCAGTTTCTTTAGTTCATTGTGTTTTCTTTTTCTTTTGTTGAATCCAGGAAAAATTTAGTGTTATGATTTTTATTAAAAATAATATGTCAAAACCTATATAATCTTATTAAGCAATATTATCCCAATATATTTAATTTAAAAAAATGAAAAAATTATCTCAAATAAAATATCTTTAAATACTCAAAAAATAGTATGCCTTGTATGATCCCATTATTAAAAATTATTTGTATACATTCTATTTATATGTGTGCATTACATACATATCTAGAATAATGTATACCTAATAATATTAGAATTATTTAAGAGTGGTAGGATTTTGGTTGATTTTTTAAAACTTATTTGTACCTTTTATATTGATGGGATTTTTTAAAAGTGCAGGTATCATTTCTATAAGAACATTATTAAATAAAGGGAGGTTTGTTTTTTGCATTATTTATAGGGAGAATTCTGGATTTTTAGTACATAATCCAAAAGTTGCCAAGTAATCATCACTACCATTAACTTGCAATCAAGAAATGAGTACTGTACTGCTTTGTTTGCCTTTAGGTTTATGTTGACTTATATATACAATATCCTTGTAGAGACAGTGAGTGCAGGGTGGTATCTTCATTGTAAATTTGCCTTGGTATGAATTCTGGTTTTGTTACTTAGTAATTATGTGACCTTAAGTTGTGTGAGTGTCTGTCCTCACCTAAGACTAGGCATTATATTTATTTTAGCAGATTGTTGTAAAGATTAGTATATACCTAGCCCAGTGGTAGGCAAACTCATTAGTCAACAGAGCCAAGTATCAACAGTACAACGATTGAAATTTCTTTTGAGAGCCAAATTATTTTTTAAAAGTGCAGGTATCATTTCTATAAGAACATTATTAAATAAAGGGAGGTTTGTTTTTTGCATTATTTATAGGGAGAATTCTGGATTTTTAGTACATAATCCAAAAGTTGCCAAGTAATCATCACTACCATT